AATCCTTGCCAAAGTTGGATATGTATAGGTAGCACACCAAGAAAAATAATTGATCTGGCTCAATAAAAGCTTTTTTTAAATGTACTTTTGCTTCATTTGTTTTTGTCTTCTTCTGTATGCTGAAGCCAGAAATGGTATTCTTGCTAAGAGGCAATGATGTTATAAAAAGGAAGTAGTTAGGGGTGTCTCTCATTGACTTGCAATAACACAGTAAGAATATTTACTATTCTTTAGTAAAGCACTTTATTTTGTTTTGGTTCAGCTATGCCCAAACATAGGGATGCATTTTTTAATTTAATTTTGTATTGATTAAAATATTACAATCCAGCTCTAATTGAATCCAAAATTTATCAGGCAAACTTGCAAAGGCATAATGGTTATCTTTCTTTCATCCCCACCATGGCGTATGACATTTGATATTGTTTTATTAGTCACTGTGCACACATTAGATAATTTATTGCCTAGAATTATTTTAATGGCTTAATGGAGTCATTATTAAATGTGGCACAGTTCCTGAAATGTCAGTACCTTGCTCAGTGTTCACCTTATTAAATCAGAAGCTTTCTTTTTCTTTTTTCCAGTAAAGGCTAATTCATATTTAGCAGTCAGCTTATGCTGCAGAAAAAAATAGTGTCATGTCATACCATACATGCTGTCTTCTCAATTCTCGTTTTATATGTATTTGCTCCTAAGGCTTGGTCTCGTGTAACCAGAATTAGCTCCTCTGTCTCTTTCTTCAATTTTCTTGCTCTTAGAGATTGCCAGGTCTTGAAATTACCTGCTTTGCCTGTTAATTTTTTATGTTCTAGCCATGTAACACTTTGCTGTGCTATGTCTCTTTTCTATTCTTAATTTCATCCTTTTTTGTAGGCCAGTTTGATCTTTCTGGCATTCAGTAAGCCTTCATTAGTGCTAATTTCAGTGCATCTTCTGCACTGCCCATCCTTCAAATATTCTTCCAATTCCCATTTTTCTTCTTCAGTTGTCTGATGCATTTGCACACCTAACTATTTTCCTTGGTAAGTAGAGTATCAACAGCTCTGCAAGGCATGATTCATTATCATTAATTTTCTGGTCTTCCTATCGATGGCTTCTAGTTCTTCTTGTATCCAGCCCACTATTCCAGCTGTGATTTAATGACGGGAATTCCCCAGTTGTTACTTGCTCTGATGGTATTTCCTGAGTTTGGACTTTTAAGATATTCATTCTCATGATATCTTCACCTCTAAGCTACTTCTTGACTTGTGTTTGATGTTGTCACCTTGAAGAATGCCCAGGTATTTGTAATTATAAGTCTTCATCCAACTCTTGTTATTTTTATAGGGCATCTTAATTCCTTCAGTTTTCACTATTTGTCCCCTGTTGGTAGTGAGGATGCTACATTTGTGCAATCCAACATACATTGCATTATCTTTCCTGTATATACAAATGGTGTTTTGTTCTAATTTTATTTTAAATGGAGTTCTTCCATACAGCTTCAGAATATCCATGTAAAGGAGGCAGAATAGCCTGGCAAATGTTTTTAATGTTTAATAGCCATGGCCTGACATTGTTTAGTATTATTGATAAAGGAATCTATTATTATAGTTTTGTGCTGAGCTGGTGGGGGCATGGCCTATGTGTGATTCATTTGGTCAGCAGGCCGCCAGTTTGACACCCCTGCTATAGATAAACATCTGGTCTGAAATAGTGGGACTGTTCTTAATGTTTTCTTAACATTTGTCCTAGAAAAGGATTAGGCAGCCTTTGCTGCCTTAAATATTTCTGAGTTGCAACTCCCAGTGTCCCTTGGAAACATAACTGATAACGAGGAAGCCTGGGTATTTTAATTGGGAATATAGTACAACCCTTGCCCTACGGCATATTTTTTTTGCTTTCCGGAGTGGGGATGGCAGGGGAAGTGCATTTTCAAAGTTTTATCAGAAAGTTAACTAATTTTGAAAAGCACTTCCTGAAGCTGTAAATTTTAAATATTACTATTATAGACTGTTTCTCTCATCTTTAGTTTATGGTAAGGATCTGTTATGGCTGTGATGAATTGATGGCTTTCTGTACTGAGATTTATGCAGTGTTGTATTGAGATTTATGTAGTGAAATGTTACTGTATTTGGGGATAAATGAAAGTCAATTTTTGAAGTTCTGTTTTAAATACAGGTAGTCCTCGACCTACAACCACAATTGAACCCAAAATTTTTGTTGCTAAGTGAAACATTTGTTAAATGAATTTTGCCCCATTTTACAACTTTTTGTGCCACAGTTGTTAAGTGAATCACTACAATTGTTAAGTTAATAACACTGTTGTTAAATGAATCTCGCTTCCGCATTGACTTTGCCTGTCAGAAGGTCACAAAAGGGGCTCACATGACCCCAGCACACTACAACCGTCATCACAAGTATGAATCAGTTGCCAAGCATCTGAATTTTGCTCACGTGACCATGGGCAGGCTGTAATGATTGTAAATGTGAAAATGGTCATAAGTCACTTTTTAATGTGCCATTGTAACTTTGAACAGTCACTAAATGAACTGTTATATGTCGAGGACTACCTGTTCTTACACTTATGGGGAAATGTGCTTTAAGAAAAGCATGGAATCTCAAAAATTAACTGATATGGCAATGACAGCATATGAATTTGTAACTGTCTGCAACTGGTTGTGGATCTAGCAGAGAGCCACATATTAGCAGAATATACAAACACACTAAGTCAGAATGAGTTTCTGGAATCCCTCTGATTAAGTTGCCAAAATTCTGTGTGTGACTTCCTGTTGTGGAAGTCTTAAAATGCAATAGGTTTAGAGTGTAGTATTTTTGTTTGTATTTCAAACCCAGACCATTATGGTAACCCACAATAAGAATGCAATTGTGTTTCTTACCAGAAATTTTGTACAATTGACAAGGCAGAAAATTAAGTGGTAGAATTTCAACTATCCTATATAGTACATGAGTATTATAAGATTTTATAAGATTTAAGATTTTAAGATTTAAGATTTTATAAGATTTTAAATCAGCTGTTTTGCCTTCTGGCAGAAACAGCCGTTTCTTTGGGATTTCCCCAACAGGAAGCAATAATATGCCTAAAGAGGCAGAGATTTCCTTACAAGGTGCATAGCATACAAAGAAGTTTAGATTCATTGCCAGCAGTCTACCAAGTTAACAGAGGAGCTGCTGACTCACAGGAGAGAGGACTTTTATCATTACCAACTATGCTTAATGAGAGCATTGTTTAGCTCTGCTGGTTTTGTCTTCGGAGGTATAGTCTGAGTTGCTTTCTAAAGAAAGTTAGTGGATAGATAATATAAAACCTGGGGATATTTTGGTGAACTCATTGGATTGAAGAAATGAGTGAGCAAAGCTTGAATCATGCACTATTAACAAATTGACCATGTTTAGTAAGGTTAAAGATTGGATGGTAATGTCTTTGAGCAATCTTGAATGACCTTGACTATTTTAATCAGTTTCCTGAGGGATAACTTTTAGAATTTTGGGCTTTTCCATAGTTTGGAATACCATGTACTATGATCTCCTTCTGGCTTGTGGCTTGGTCTTGGGCTTTCTTTCCTTTTAGCATCAACATGAAGCCACAGAAGACCCTCTTACAAATGGGGCTGGAATACCATCAGCATGGGGAGAGGAAGTAAGGGGTGGGGGGGTTGAAATACCGGTTCAGCGAACCAAATGTAACTTTAACATCCGGTTCACTTGAACCGGTCCAAATCGGTAGAATCCCACCCCTGAGAATACTGTAAAATTATAGAGGTTAAGCAAGTATGGGGTAAAGCGGAGAGTGTCTTTCCCATGACATCAGACTACATAATCTGGACTCAAGGGTCTATTGGATACCATATACAGTATATTAAAAAGTGTGTCAATATTTGGTATGAATACAAGCAATTTTATCCGTAGTGTTTTGCATATTTTTGCATGGGTTTTCTGAGGGGTCCAAAATTGTTTTTTCTAGGTCAAGCGACAATAAACAAGAGCCCATAGGCTTTCGCAATTTAAGGATTAAGATTACATTATAGCTTAGGCCGTGTTCTTGTTTATGTGCAATTGATAGGCTGTCAAATTATGATTTCAACATTGTATTTGTTATTATTTTATTCTAGAAATTTTATCTTTAATGTTAAGCTTTAATTGTACTGGTCTTTGTAATTATAAATATTTGAAATAAACAACAGTCCTTGCATGACAATTGCAGAATTGATTTCTGTATTCATTTGTAAAATTTATACCTTACTTAGCAGTCCTCAGTGGTTGAAAGTGCACTGAAATGTAGATTACCCATTCACAGTTAAATATCTTAAATACTGGCCTCTTATTTTCTAATTAAATATGGGGACCCTCTCTAGTTAGAAGGCATGATTTTTCTATCCTGGCATTCCTTTACTAACATTTTGCTGTATGGTCTTAAAAAACAGTTAGGTTTTTATGTACCAGTCCTAACTTTCCTTGTATGTAATTTAAATATTAGACTTCTGATTTTCTGTACAATTTTTCTTTCCATGAGAAGGAAGGAAGGAAAAATTCCAATTCAGTTTATTGACATAGTGAACATATTACATACCGGTAGTCACATTCTTTTAAATTTATGAGGAGAATATTTGTACTTTAGTCATTTTCTAATGGACTTTGACCCTTATCAAGTCTCAGAGAAATGTATCTCAGAGTCTGTGATGAAACAGCATTCAGGCCTTTGCAGGCAAGCAGGCTGAATATGGGTAATATTGTGTTTGAAGAATATGTGCTCTTTGCTCATGAATCATTCTAGATTGGTCTCTTCAGATACACCTTTACAACCTCACACTATCTCAGTTGCAGGATGGCATCAGTTCACAAGCTTCGCTCTGAAGTTATAAATTTGTCGAGTGATGAAACAAGTAGTTATATTTGTGTTTACTTCTGTTATCACTTCAGAGAGTTTGATATTCATTAAAAGTTAGGATGTTGTCACATTCCAAGGTCATGTTCACAGAATTCTGTCTAAATATTTTGTCTTCTAGGCAACAGAGAATTTGCTCCAGATGATCTTTTGGAATTCAAATCACATCAGTGGTTTGGGGCATCTGTGAGATCTAAAGAAAATAAAATTTTGGTAAGTCTTCATTTTAAAGCTTGTCACACACCACTACCATGACTACATAATATGAGATACAGAACACAGCAATAAAACATTTTTTGAACATGACCATATGTTTTAAAGGCTAAAACATGTGATAAAATAAGAATGGATCTAGCAGCAAAAAAACCCACAGCCCATTATATAAAAAAGAACCACAACAAAATAAACCAGTGTCTAATCTAAAAGTATTGCAATCATAACAGGCTTAAAGGACTAAATAAATATTCAGTTTCTGTGCCAAACTGAATTACTTTACAATATCCAAATATAAATTCTGAAAAGGATATGAAAAGTTCTTCCTTATAGGTCACTTCTTTGATCAGAGCCATAGATGGCTTTAACATCCAGTAGATAAATATAGCTTTGTCTATTAATCAGGGCCAAAATCAATTAGCGGTTTAAAAGCAGTATTTTAAATTGGTCCAGGAATTGATTGGGTGTCAATGGAAATAGAAAAACTCTGACATTATGTAACTAGTTCACTGAATACTATGGCAATCATATTTAAGGCTTTGAAAACAGAAACGGAAATGTCTAAATCAGTATTTCTCAACTTCCAGCAGCTTTAAGATTTGTGGACTTCAAGTTCCAGAATTTTCCAGTCAGTGTGCATAAAGGGATGGCCTGGTTTGCATTGAAATCTTAGATCTGTCAACTGTAACTCAATTGCATGGGCTCAAGATCATACTCAAGACTAAGTCATACCTTATAGAGATTCTCTCAGCTTCATTGCACATTAGCATAAAATTGATATACAAGCTCTTCCCCTTAAATTTTCTTGGCTCACTTGAACACATGCATGAAGCCACTAAACTGAATTGTAAAATACAGCACATTGATTCCTCCCACTTCATAGTTTAGCAATATCAGCAAACTCACAGCAGGGCTTGTTGGAAATTTAATGTACTTTTTAGGGGTGGAGGGAGAGGAATCTTCAACCCAGTTGTTTTAAAACGCACATAATGTATCTTATTTGAAAAGTGCATCCAGTAGGTAAGCAGTATTCAGTTGAATAGACTTATCATCAGCACATTGGTGTTTTTCTTTGTTTTCCATAGCTGTTTGTTCAGAGACTGCTTGTTGCTCATAACTATTCTTTTCCGTTGATATTTCCCATGGTTATTGCCCTTTTTAAAGAGCTTTCTAAATACTTCCATCTGCAGGCATGTGCTCCTTTATATCACTGGAGAACTGAGCAGAAAGCACAGAGGGAACCTGTGGGAACTTGTTATCTTCACGATGGGTCTAAAGCTGTTGAATATGCTCCTTGCAGGTCAAGTATGTAGAAAATGTCTTGTTACAATTACAGCACAAATTCTGTTTTCTATGTACCATCATATTGCATGCATTGGTGGAAGGAATGTGTCTTAAACATCCATATTCCCCATATTGTTCCTTCATCTCTCTGCAGTCATTTGGGTGGATCCTTAACAGAGAAAACAATTGAGAGGGGGCAAATCTATCTTTTTAGCACTTTCTCTAGAGTTGGATTTCATAGAAAATATTATGAAGATTTGAATCTGGAAATGAATGGAGTATGATTTGGATTTGCTTGTTCTGCTTCCCACCCCCCCACCCCCGCCACAATCTCTATGATTTCACAAGCCAGTATCTAACCATGAAGACACCAGAATGGTAAAGACACAGATTGTGACATCATAAAGGGAGCTTTATCCTTTCGTACTCACTCCTGAATTGATCCTTTTTCCCAACTGAGTGGAATAAGCTGGTCTGTTAGGAGATTTGGGGAAAATAATGCAGCAAATCCAAATTATGTAGGAACTGGAGTGTGTGTGGCCCATTTCGAGTAGGATTCAAAAGAATTCAGGAAATCACTTTGGGTTGGCTTAATATCTCTTCCAGCCAATCATACTTTAAAGAAAGGCCAAGATCAGAAGAATATACAAATGAAAAGATCATTAGTATTTCTTTTCTGAAGCTCTATAGTCAGAGGATTAATCATGTCATAAAAAGCTTCTTGGACTCTCGCCTAACCTGCAAGGGATCTGCAGAGGAATGCCTTTTCCTGTTTTAATGCAAACTGCATTTCATTGCTATGTCTGGTCATAACTGCGTTGTAAATATAGAAGAAAAGAACATGCTTATCTTTCACATTTATGTTTTGAAACAGGCAGTATTTTAAGCCAATGTTGTTAGTAATAGTTCAGAACAAACCCTTCTCTCATAAGTTCAGTATGTCGGTAAGTCATACCTGCACAATGTCGGATTGACAAAGCCCTATGAAGTCCTGTCAACTGATGTCAGAAGGATAGTGGATAACAATTTTGCTTTCAGTGCCTAGTTCAATCTCAGAAATGTGTCTGTCAAGTAGAATACATGGTTAGCTGTGCTTCTCCTAGCAGGTTGCCCACTATGTAGTTTTGTCCGAGTTGTAGGAAGTGCAAGGTTACTTATCACTGAAATGCATTCTCAAAAGCAGCTGGTGAGGTGATCACCTTGTAACTGGCCTGTATCACCTAAAAATGTAAGTGAGGAATTTGCAGGACCAAATACTGCCTCTCATCACCTTTTACCCCCTAAGAAGTACTTGTGGACTAAAAAATAGGGAGGAAGTAAGAATGAATGAATTATAGCTATTCACACTGATGTGGGGAAATGGAATAGAAAAACAAAGAGGTTTCTAAGAAGGTAGAGTAACAACTTTTAATATAAGGCTATTCAGAAGAGCCACAGCCTCCAAGGATATTTCCTATAAGAACTGAATTTTCCTACAATAAATTACAGCATAGTGTTATTTTGAAACAAAAGAGATTGGAATTAGCGCTGTCCCCCTGTTCCTCTTCTCTTCTGGAGACTTTGACACTCCATAAGGGATCCAGATTGCAAAACACTGATTACTTCCTCCATATTTTCCCCCTTCAAGCTATCCTTCCCAGATGTAAGAACTTTTTTGCATTATCCTTGCCCTCAAAGCATCTGTCACAGACTCCTCAGTTTGCACACCAGCTTTGCTAATGTTGTGTAGAAATTTTGTATTACACAACTTTACAAACATTTCCATTGTTTCTTGTTGCCATTAGCAAGCACTGATGCTGAAGGACAGGGCTTTTGTCAAGGTGGATTCAGCATTGATTTTACCCAGGTATGGAAATTATTTCTGCATGTTTTCTTCTATCTCAGATCTCCACAGAAGAGGGCAAAGTATCTAAAAAGCCCAACCCTGGGCAGGGAAATTGACCAGAGGAACTTTACACGGAACATCTTATTGTTTCATTCCTGTGGCCTTAAATATATACTTTTGTAAAGTTGCTGTGAAGTATTGGCGTGTTCAGGAGGTGGGGGAGGGGTATTAAAAAAGACAAAATGCAGTTGTGACTATGCCATCAAAGCCCCACCCTTTTTGTATCTTATATCAAAATTGCATGCATGTGTAAAAGGTGGAGCTTTAATGGCACAGCCATGGCCCCCATCTTGCCTTTTTTTGATGAAATTGCCCTAAATGAAATTATTTATTTTGTCCAGGATTGCATGAGAGGAAATCCTCAAAGAAAATAAATGGCTAAAAAATGAGATATGTTAATTCTTTACCGGATCTTGTTCCTTTACACTTAGATGAGAACTTGGTTTAAAAAATTATGTTTGCTTTCATATTTTAAACCTATTTTAATTCTGAAATTTTAATTTAAAATGCTGTGATACATAAAAGATATGTACATAAATATACATATACACGGAGACAGTGTACATATATTCTTCTGTATGTACATACATTTGTCATTATATAGTAACAGAAAATGTGTCCAACATGAACAGAAGCTGTGAATTTCAATAACCAAATATTGGAAATAAAAGAGAAGAAAGAGCAGGATGTCATTTCTATAATCTCAGCTTGCCTTGTCCAAGGCAAAGGACTGCACTTGATATGTAGCACGGAAAATTTATTTACTCCCTTGTAGGAGCTTCTTCGGCGACAGATCTAAATCTGTGATCGTGCGCAGTTTCAATCTATGCTCGCTGCTGGAGCGCCCCAAGCCGGCTGGTTTCAGGGCTAAGTCACCCCATAGAGGTGGTGAAGCGGGGGAAGACCAGTGGTGGCAAACCCTTTTGGGCTCCCATGTCAATAATTGCATACATGCTCACGTGCCAGCAGCCAGAAGGCAATGAATGCAGCCCCCACTCCCTGCACCTGCGCGCGTGATCTCCTCACAGTGCACGGCGCATATGCTCATGCGATTCCCCTTGCCGCGTGCCGCACGCCTGTGCATGCACGTGCGATTCCCCTTGCTGCGTGTCTGTGCATGCTTGTTCGATTCCCTTTGCCATCCCTCTGCACATGCACATGTGATCACTCCTGCACGCTGCACATCTCTGCGCATGTGTGCACGATCCCTCCATATGCCATGTGTCTCTGCACATGCGCCTGCGACCCCCAGTGCACACTGCACATCTCTGCGCATGCGCACGTGTCTCCCACTCACACACCCACGCATGCACACCAGATACCCAACAATCAGCTGTCGGATGGCGGCAGCACGCACACATGTGTAGTGGGGCTCTTCCGGGCAAGCTCTCACGTGCTGGAGGGAATGGCTCTGTATGCCAGTTCCGGCACGCCTGGCATAGGTTCGCCTCGGCCCTAGACATAAGTCTTGTTCAAGTCATAACTTACTTATCACAGCATCCGAATAAGAATGCAATGTTCAAACCAGAAATTAAATGTAGTAAAAATGTAGCCTGATAAAATAAACCAGTATCAGAAACCAATGAGATCTAGATTTTTTTGTTTAAACTTTATCATCCTCAAGGATAGGGTTAGGGTGCTTTTATCAAAACAAAGTAAGTAATGTTACACCATAATCTCCGTTCCTTTCAAATGTGTGTGCATCATGACACATGCACGAAAGGAGCAGTCTTTGCACCCTAACACTGTTTTTTCTCTTTGAAATAATAGAAAATACTTGTAGCTCGGGTTTCAAATTTTGACAGTAGTTTGCTCTCCGAGCTTGTTTCAATTTAGTTTCATAACATTTCGTTCCCAGACCAGGTAACATCATCAGCAGGTTTTTCTTGTACTATTCTCCTTAGCTTATAGATGTCTTGTGTGCCAGTTGGGTCAGTTGGTCATGTGATTAGTTGTTCATTTGGAGCCGTATTTAAATTCTGAGCAGCTGATTGGTTCGCTTGTTGATTGGTGGTTCAAATGGTCTGTTTTTCTCTTTCTGCCTGCTATCATTCTACATGCCACAGCTGCCATAGACCACAGTTGGTGTAAACCTAGAAGGTGATGCTTCCGATCTTTTCTACCTCCTAATATTTCCTGGAAGAGGTTAGAAAAGAGAGGACACTCATTTCTGAGCTTCAGCAAACTCATGTTCACATCCCTAAATTATGTCTTAGCTTTGCAACTAATATACACCATTAGTGTCTTAACCATTCTATATGATTGTTGAGAATTATTTTTTTTTCCAGTAAGATTGAGAGGGAAAAATACATTTGCCTAACTGTGTCCATTCAATCAATGGGTAGCAATGAGATTTAAATGAGATGTGTTATGCAACATTTCCTAGAGATTTTTTTTAACAGTCACAGAACATTACAGAAATGTGAAACAGGGAAGTTGAAATACCACAAAATATGAATGCACTTAACAATATGGTGGAAAATAAACGGAAATACTAGTATTAGACTGGCCAGGATTCTCTGCGAAGGAAATTATATGAAGTTTGAGATGTCTGAAAAAGCAAAAAAAAAAAAAAATTTGATCAGACACAGTGGAGCAATCTTTAGTCACTGAATGTTGTAACAAATTCAGCTTAGTCTGAGTATTTATTTTTAGATATTACAATAAAGAAATCTCTTTTTCTCTGTCTTTCCTCTCTAGAAAGACAGAGTTCTACTTGGAGGACCTGGAAGTTTTTATTGGCAAGGTAAAACAAGGGATTTGATGAATAAAATGACAGTTACTTAATTTGTTTACTTCTGGCCTGATGTAAAACAAAATGATTATTTTTTTCATTCCACAAATACTGTGAGTTAGAAGTAACTGAAATAGACATGTTATGGGAATGCTTAGTCTTTTTCCTATTGATCTTTCTTAGCTGTTATGAGGTGCCTGATCCTCATAAGGCTATAAGCAGCTGTAGGAAGGGAAATGCATTTAACTTTAGTGGATTTCCTCTTGTAGAGCAAAAATAACTTTTTAGGGCACCTGAATATTACAGAAACCCCAATGTAAAATAACATTTCCTGGTGACAGGCAGAGGCCTAACCATAGAATGTGTAAACAATGATTATATTATTTACACATTCCTGAAACAGCTCAACTTTCAAATAGTAATGACCATTTACATTTAATCAAATTACATATTTATATCAAATGTAATTTAATCAAATTACACTATCTGGGCTACTAGATAGTTATCAGGAGGCAGCAAACTCTTTACTTCCATTAAATTTGTCGTCGGTTTTTTTGCAGTCCAGAGATTTTTTTTTTGCCACAATTAACTATGAAACTAAGCTGTTGCTCTGCTCAAAATTTGAAAATGACTTTTCTGAGTAAGAGAAGTTGTGGAGATTCGGTTATGCACATCTGCACATTAGGCTTTGATGCCTCATGCTTCTGGTAAATTAGGATCCTGGATGCAAGATAGCAATGAATATGATCCGTCTTTATAATGCTGCAAGATTTTTCTACCACAGAATACTATTGTGGTGATCAAGCTGAGTAGGTTTTTCCTGCTAATTGCTATCAATTGTGGATTTAGCCAGAAACTCCAGCTTAGGAAATAGATGTAAGTGCATTTGCTGAATTTTGAGCCACTCAACCAGATAGTTAAATAATGGATACAGGTCACTCTTGTTAAATCTATGCTATAGTATACTTGTATAAACTATAGAAGAACTTCTGCTAAGGCAGGGGTAGGCAAACTTTTTGGCTCGGGGGGCCTCATTGACTTTTAAAATTTGACAGACGGGCCGCCACCTGGTGTCGAAATGCCTGTCATTACAAGTCAAAATCAAATGAATGCAATCATTCAATCATTCACATCAAACCTTAAATCTGTACCAATCTTCGGCGGGCCAGATTAAAAAGACCAACAGGCTGGATGTGGCCCGCGGGCCGTAGTTTGCCCACCCCTGTGCTAAGGGCTTATAGATCATATCCTAATTGTGAGTATGTCACATAGGATCATGTTGTCTTTACCCCTTTTGTCAGGCCAAAGATACACTTGGTTAAATTCTTTATACCTCTTTACTGAAATTAACCAAAAACTTTTTAATTTATTTCCAGACTTAGTTTGGCTTTCCTCTATAGTCCTATTCACAATTACCTAGTAATAGCAATAGCACTTAAACTTATGTACTGCTTCACAGTGCTTTTCAGCCCTCTCTAAGTGGTTTACAGAGTCAGCATCTTGCTCCCAACAATATGACTGGTTTCCAAGCTGACATTATAGAATTGCGTTTTATGACGAAGCAACAAATATCTGCTCAGAACTGTATTATTTGAAAATATTCCCTTTTGCTTTTCTCCAGGCCAGCTAATCTCTGATCAAGTGGCTGAGATTGTGTCAAAATACAGCGCTAAAGTCTACACAACTAAATACAGTCACCAGTTAGCAACACGGTCAGCTAGTGCTACTTTCGATGACAGCTATTTGGGTGGGTACTTAAATGTGAAACAGGAAATCTTTTAAATGTGTGATAAAACCAATCTTGGCATTCTCTTCATCATAACATTCACTGGGATGAAGCTTCCCAATGCGATCAGCAAAAGTATGTCTGTTTTTGATGTTTCTGAAAGAACAACTGTCCAAAATATAGCCAAAATAAAAATGACTAGTACTTATTTACTGGAGAGTTTTCACTTTCCCTCTTCAAGTAATAATTTTTAAAAATGTAGTCTATACTTAAGCTGTATTGGATAATGAATTCCAATTCTGCAATTGTGTACAGGTAGTTCTTGACTTAACAACAGTTCATTTAGTGACCATTTAAAGTTACAAAGGCACTGAAAAAAAATGACTTATGACTGTTTTTCACAGTTATGACCTTTGCAGTTTTCCCATGGTCATGTGATCAAAATTCAGACACTTGGCAGCTGACTCATATTTATGATGGTTGCCCCGTCCCGTGGTCATGTGATCCCCTTTTGCGACCTTCTGACAAGCAAAATCAATGGGGAAGCCAGATTCATTTAAGAACTGTGTTACTAACTTAACAACTGCAGTGATTCACTTAACAACTGAGGCAAGGAAGATCGTAAAATGAGGCAAAACTCACTTAACAAATGTCTCGCTTAACAACAGAAATTTTGGGCTCAATTACGGTCGCAAGTCGAGGATTACCTGTATTCAGTTTTTTCCAATTTTGAAAGAGAAATAGCATCCCCTATTAGTCAACAGTGAGAATGATATCAGGAGCTCCATGAACCAGGTTTATTTTTAAAAAGATGTCTAAAAATGTTTTTGGGTGCATCTCAAAATAGAATATCTCCTTGAATTATTGAATGATTAATATTGATTCTTGACTTCTCATTTTCTCATTTTCATGCTTGACAGGTTATTCAGTTGCTGTAGGGGATTTCAATGGTGATGGCATAGAAGGTATGTCTTGTTCATGTTTGCATAAACTGTCCAGAAACTAATGGATTTTGAACACTTTGGGGGGGGGGGGATTGAAGTAGTGCTAGGAAATAAATAATCCAGGTGACCTGTTGAAATCTGTATTAATTTTTGCATGTCTGAGTCTATTTATTTCAGCTACAGTATTTTTCCTTGAGGCTATGAAAGAATAAAGATCAGAGAAAATTCCTTCTGCTTTCATTGCAGATATAGTAAGAGGTTTCTGAGCCACATTAGGGATTGTGAAAATAGAAGATTGTTGTTGCCTGTTAATGTTGTTTCAATATATTCTTCCTCTCAGAAGTATACTCATTGATGACAAAATGTAACCTCACAATGAAATCCGTGTTTTTCTACCGTGTTTCTCCAACAATACAGCCTCCACCAATAGGAAGGCCCAGCATGTTTTATTGGCATAAAATCAAATTAAGCCCCTCCCCCCAATTAAGGCCTATATTAAACATGTGAAATGGGGGGAATGGCGGGGGGGGCTTGCCATTAGGAAGTACTTCGTTGCATACCTGGATATGGTGCTGCCTGTGTTGGTGGGGCACTTCGTATCGGGAGACCTTCCGCCACCGTTGCTTTCCCTTCTCCCTTGCTGCTGCAGTGTTTAGAGCAATGCCACGGCGTTTGGCGCAGCCATGCGCGGACAGCCAGGGCTCCTCCCTGCAACCGGAGCCCTGTGGAGACACTTGGCTTCACACACGAGAGCTCTGCCACCAGGAAGGAAGGCCTGCCTGTCAGCTGCGCTGGGCTCCCCAGGCGAACCTCTTCGCGCTCTGCCTGGCGCCAGGCAGGGATGGCGGCTGAGCACTTCTCCCGAGGTGGGCCGATCCTGCACTGTAGTAGGGCGTCGTTTTTAAAATAATTGGCTTTACCTTTGAAGGCAAAGGGAAGGCGGTGACAGGAGCGCCTGAAGCCGAATGTCTCCGCTGGGGTCCGGTTGCAGGGAGGAGCCCTGGCTGGCCGCACGTGGCTGCGCCAAACACCGCGTCATTGCTCTAAACGCCATGGCAACAAGGGAGAAGGGAAAGCAACGGTGACGAAAGGTGTCCCGATGCGAAGTGCCCCACCAACGCCGAGGTCAACATCCAAGCTGTTGCCGCCCGCCCACCTAAGGATGCAAGGGGGGGGGGGGAATTAAGTCACCCCCGAAAAGACAGCCTAGCCGTTTTTTCAGGGGTCAAAAAAAAAAATAAGCCCCGGCCTTATTTTGTGAGAAAGACGGTATGTTTTCATTACAACAACCCATGCAAGTATATGAGGGACAGAATTTGTGCTCCAATGAAAACACATGTTTTATCATTCCTCTCCCTCCTTTCTCCATGGATGCTCATAATCTGGATGCACATAATTTTAAGAGCCATAGTGGTGCAGTGGTTAGAATGCAGTATTGCAGGCTAACTCCACCTACTAACAGCAGTTCGATTCTGACTGTTAACTATTGCTATTAAGGAAGCACAATTGATGCTTACTTTTGAAAGCTTCCTCGGAGCTCTGTAGGAGAATGATGCCAATATAAGATAATTTTCCCCATGATGTAATAACAATAGCAATAGCACTTAGACTTATAAAGCGCTTCATAATGTTTTATAGCATTTACAGAGTCAGCATATTGCCTCCAACAATCTGGGTCCTCATTTTAGCAACCTCAGAAGGATGGAAGGCTGAGTCAAATCTTGAGCAGTTCAGAATTGAACTCCGGGAGTGAGCAGTGAGTTAGCTTGCAGTATTGCATTCTAACCACTACGCCATCACAGCTCTATAATTCTACAGTTCAACTTTGAACAAAATGGAATAAAGTCACTCCAAAAAGGCAGTTGTAACCTGGGAGTCAATTGGACCTGAGGAAATATGCATCCAACTCTGCTCCTCCATTTTTGGAACAGGTATCATGGGTGAAGTGAACTCACAGTCTCTTTCCTCCTTCATACCTCATACCTTGAAGACTGGGAATGTTCCAGAAAAAAAAAGAGTAGATCGCAGGAATGAAAAAGAAACAGCATATCTATCCAGAAATGACCTATGTCCTATGCCATTGTATCAAACCCTCTGAAATAAAAACAAAGGAAAAGGAGACAGCATTTTTAAAAGGAATTTCTTTTCCTAAAATTAGTTATACATTTTGTTCCCCCAGTCTTACATGATTCTCCCACTCTTATTACCATTACCTTATGGCCAGTATATCATATATTTTGTCTTTATTGTTTTATATATCTTTGCCAATCTATAATGAATCTGTTCTAGTTGCAATAGTTCTCTTTTAGCTAATGATAGAGAACCAATTTGGTGTAGTGGTTAAGATACCAGCCTAATAACCAGGAGATCATGAGTTCTAGCCCCATCTTAGGCACAAAGCCAGCTGGGTGGTCTTGGGCCAGTCACTGTCTCTCAGCCCTAGGCAAGCCACTTTTCAAACCCCTGCCAAGAAAATTGCAAGAATTTGGTCAGGCATATTCTGAGAATCAGATATGATTGTACAGGTGGAAAAAGCTATTGGATAAATTAATAAGATAAGCCTCTGTGAAAATAAGAATAGTCTTGTGAACTAGATGGGAAAACTTTCTGAAGGGCATTGATTCTACCTCCACAGATGATGGAAAATTCCTTTTATGTTTTCAGATTTTGTGTCGGGTGTCCCAAGAGCAGCAAAAACTTTGGGCATGGTAAGGAATTTAAATAAAACAGTATTGAATAATTGATTTATTCTTTTTAGCAGCCCTTCAAATATGCAATGGTACAGAACTTTATATATATTGTGCAGGTATCTATTTACAATGGGGAAACGATGGCATCCATGTATAACTTCACTGGAGAACAGGTATGATTTGATTTCTATAAGAGGAAAATGTGTTTATAATTATATTCATCTTTTACCAGGATAGGAATATTGGTGAGATAATACACAAAATAAGTGTGGAAAAAAATAGGAAAGAAAAATATTTTAGAAAGAAAATGTCATAATCCAGCTATAGTAATCAAATTCAAACATCTTGGCTTCTGTGTATTACAATTCTGAGAAAAGATGTTTTTTCTGGTGATCTTGGGTAAGTTGATGGAAGACACCTTCCCAATTCAATGTTCCTTCTGATCCTAGCAAGTGAAATAACTGATGGAAGAAGAGACAATTAATAATTAGCCTGAACAGGCCAATTGCAAAAGCATTTGTTTTTTACCTCTTACAGATTTAAAAGCATATGCCATCTGATGTAATTACCCACTCACTGCTAGATTTACACTATCGACATAACATATATCTTGGAGATAGTTGATTAGATGAGAGGTCCCCAACTTGTGGGTTATAGCGCAGTAATGGGCCGTGAGGGGTTTGCAACTGGGCCACAGAAATGGCTAGCAAGTGTGCGCACATGCATTCTCACTTGCACAAGTAGTGGGCGAGTGTGTTACTCTCCATTTAAGTGAGAGGCAGGCAGGTGCACATTATGCACGTAAATGGAGTTGCACGCATACCTTTCAGCTGCTCGCACAGTACCATCCCTTCTCTTTCCCATTAGAAATATGACTTTAAATTTTATTTAACTTTTATTTGTAATTCCCAATGAAAATGTTTTATTTTTTTAAAAAAGCTGCAAAGTTATTTGTTTTCATTAAAATTTAATTACAGAAACAATACCCTATTTCTTTTTTTTTTTGTAAATTTTATTTGAGTTTTCACAAAAAAAATACAAATAAAACATCTTTTTTGAAAGTAGCGTAATCCCAGGTTACAGTTCTTCGTACAGACACAAATTCAATTTCATGCTCATTTTTATGTTCTATTCCATATCTTATTACTGTTTTACATTTTCTGCATAACTTCTCTCCTCTTTTAATTTACTCAATTTTATTTTAATTATCTCATCTCAATTCAATTCATTATATTTATATTTTTTGTCTGTCCTGTTTCAATTATCTATTATCTTTTCTCATAAACTCTCTCCTGTAGTTACTGATTAGAGTATGACGCCTTTATATCTTTTAAGTTTATCCATTTAACTCTTATTTAGGCTTCAATATATACCCTAAAGTTATAACATTCAATATAATACATAACTTCCATTCGGATTCTGCTTGGTACATTCTTAAAATACATACTATATTCTTTAAAAAAAGAAAAACTTATAAATATATGTAATTAAAACAACACATTCCATTCCAATTCAATTCTGTCATTAATATTAATATTCATTAAAATCTTAACTTCTTTAACATTACTTTTCAATTAAATATCATACTTCTATGGGAACAATTATAAACTTGCCATAGTTAATTCCCCCCTCTCCTTCACTTATATTTTATAAAACATTAACTAATTAAAATGTTCCCGTCCCTTCCTAATTCAATTTTCTCATTTATTTTATTTCACTTATTCACAAACATTTCACTAAATTACACTAACTATTTTATCCCTCATTTTAATCATATATTGTTTCTAATTTTCTAAAGTTATTTCTATTACTAATATAACAATACAATCTTATGTACCTTTACAGTTAGATTTTCACCCATTATCTCTAAATAGGTCCTGTTTCTCTATATCTTGCTCCGGTCCTTTGTAACTTCTTTTCCTTTCCTTCTTCCCTCCCTTCTTCTCTCTCCCCTTTTTAACCCCTTGTCTCTCTACCTCTATTTCTCTCTTCTGTATTCCCCACTTCTGTTGCTTTCCAGTATTATACTTATTATTTTTATTTTCTTTGGTTGTTTTTTTAAGTCTTAAATTCTCCATTTTCTTTCCCCCCTTTCCTTTTTCTTCCCCACATAGAATTACTTGTTCATTAAAGATGGATTCTTCTTTGTCCCAGTCTTCTTGTTTTGCAGACGTTTCTTGTTGTTTCTCATTGTTCCAAATCTCCATTTCTAAGAATTGAAAAACGAAGCCAAAAGAACCCTTCCCTTCTTGTGCATCTTCTTTGTACTTTTTAAGTTCCATTTTCAATTCATCCAGAAGTAGTGCTTTAAATTTTTTAAATTTTAAATAAATTTTTAAACAACCACCCGATTAATTTTAGTCATTCAAATGCAATAACCAAGAATGCAAAGATTGCCAAGTAATCCAAATACACGCAAGCTGTTTCTTTTTGCTCTTTTTTTTTCACTTTCTCTTCCTGGGGTTCTACTGTTTAGTTACAAAGTTTCAGTTAAAATGTATCTTTTAGAAGTCTTGTTGAAGTTTTACTGTAGATTCTTTTTAATTCCAGGCAGTCTCCTCCCTCTTCCAGATCCTGCCCTTTTATTCTTTTTCCTCTCCCTTCCTGCTTATGAAAAAAAAATTTAGTGTCCAGAAATCGTTATTATCCCTTTGACATTTTGTTTTATTTTCAGCTTAATTGCCTGTTGATGTCAAAGTGAATTTTTCCGATTTCTTATTTAAGTCTCTTAGTTGTCAGTATAGGGAAAGGGAGAGAAGAAGAAAAAAACCAAACCTTTCCCTTTTCACTTTCCTTCGCTGCTTCCAATTCTTCTTTGGGAGCGTTGTTATTGTTTTGTAAGTTTGAATTCCAGGGTACCTTAGTTGTTGCTTTTACAATTTAACCCGGTCAGCCAAAACTTTCACTTCTTATCTTCCTCCTGCACATTCTTTTCCGGTCGAGTTCTTCTTTGTGGTGGACATTTCTGACCACCGCTGCAACCGCCTTTGGGAAAGAATACCCTATTTCTTATCTATTTCTAACTTCTATTAAATTATTATCCAAGGGGAACATAGAATCACAGCCATTCATTTATCGTTTTAAGAGGTCACAAGTCCACAGAGTTGAAAAACCCTGCTTGAAGGCATCTACGTTCAACTTCAGTCCCATTGGAGTAGCCTTACCATTTATAAATATTCCTTATTCCTCTTAAAATTGAAATTCTATGAGTAGTTATATGGGTGGAGAATATCCAGTGATATGCTTCCCTTCATATTACTATTAATAAAACAAAAAGGGTAAAATGTGATTTGTGTGCTTTCTATAACAAGGGAAAACATTCTATTTTCTGTTCTGACAATAAAGTAACAAATATGCAGAAATAACAAGGAGATTGAAATATGCATGGCAAGAAAGCTTTTAGCAGGTGTAAAATACCTCTAACTCCTAGTTATTTCTGTTTAATGCAGCATTTCTTTTGTTCAACTTTGTTACCCAGATAGCTGCTTATTTTGGATATTCTGTAGCTGCCACAGATATCAATGGAGATCAGTAAGTTATGGTTTTGTTTCATAATTCTTTGAAAAGGAAAAAAATCTGTTTCTGTAAAATCTTGCCTAAGGTAAAAATAAAATGTTTGAAAGAACAATGGAAATCTGTTAACATGCATATTTAACTCTCTTCCCCTCTCCCTTTTGGGAGTTTCTTCTGTTAAGATTACTTGATATAGTTCTCCAAACATTTCACAAATAGCATATTTAATCACAGATAAGCTTGTCCACAGATTAAGCCAACCCTCAAAATATCAGCCAAAATACCATGAAACTTGCAAATAAGCCAACACTTTTGAATTTTTAACTGCAGCAATAAGTGGAAAACTGCAAAGTGTTACATTGTCATTTGTATAATCACATGATTTTAAACCCAAGATAAATAGATCCTAATTTTTCAGGTACATTTTGGAATCTAACATTCTTGGCTTATTCACAAGTGTATACAGTATGTTGTCTTTTTGAATCCTCCCTGGTAAAGCTTCAAATCCTGTGAGTGGAGAAGTTGTTCTTTTTGATTGTATTGACTTCCTCGATTCATAGTTATGATGGTGATGAAAAAGAGTAGTTATGATGGTGACCGTTCATAGTGATGATGGTGATGAAAAAGAGTAACTTTATAATCAATCCTTACATTAATGAGCAAAGGAAAACTGAAGAAAGATCATAAGCATAGTCACAGTTTCACTGCTTAGCAACCAAGTGATTGATCCCAGTTGTGGTAGCTGAACAACACAATCTGTACTTCTATCCAGCACTCCTTTTTCTAGTTCTCCTATTCCTTAACTTCCTTTCTTCCCTTTTTCTTTCTCCAGGCTGCTGAATTTTACAACTAACCAATATCTGTGGGGTTTTTTTGTTCTAATGAATTATACCCCCAGTGTAATCCTAAGCAATCCTAAATTGATTTTTCTAGTCAGCCTGTTATGATTATGACCTCGTCTGTTTTATAATTCTTTTGACCGCAAAAGATATGACCTGGGATTCAATTCCAATCATTCGTAGCTCCTTGCATTCTTGGTATCTCCATCCTCTCCTCCTTCCCCCAACCATTGTGTACTTCACGAAGCATAATGAGCTACAGCAGAGGTCTCCAAACTTGGCAACTTTAAGACTTGTTGACTTCAATTCCCAGATTTCCTATGCTGACTGAGGAATTCTGGGAGTTGAAGTCCACAGGACTTAAAGTTGCCAAGTTTGAGGACCCCTGGGCTACATATGACAGAGGCAATCTTTGTATTGAATGAACAACTTTCTCTCCGTCTCTCTCTCTCTCTCTCTCTCTTTCTCTCTCTGCCTCTGCCCTCAACTTTAGCTATACAGATTTGCTTGTAGGTGCCCCACTCTTTATGGATCGTGGCTCAGATGGCAAGCTCCTGGAAGTGGGCCAGGTATCTCTTTACCTTCAACAACCCTCTGGAGGGTTTCAAAGTTCAGCCATTAAATTGAATGGCTTTGAAATCTTTGCAAGATTCAGCAGTTCAATTGCCCCTTTGGGAGACCTTGATCAGGATGGCTTCAATGGTAATGCATTTAGTCATTATTATTGTTGTTGTTGCTATTATGTTGATTAAACTTTTTTGCACCACAAGGATTTTAAACTTTTTAGTTATAACTTGATTAAACCCTGTGGTTTGGTTCAAAATGGTTGTGTTTGTTGTTGTTATTTTAATGCTTTGATAGGCCTTGCTCTAATCTAGCAAGCAAATGTTGTTTAATGCATCTTTCTAAAATATGAAGCTTTGAAAAAGTACTGCACAAATAAAAAACAATACACTGATTTATTTTAACTGTAGAATGACCTGCACTTCTGCATCAAGTACTACCTTACATAAAATTATCTCTAGTGAATAGGATTAGTTAGCTAAATTATTTACACTTGAATTTGAAAATATATCTTTAAACTAGGTAGTTCTCAACTTATAATGACAATTGGAACTAGAAATTCTGTTGCTAAGCAATGTGGTTGTAAAGCATGACAACAGTACTTAGTGACAGCAATCCCTATCGTCCCAGTTGCTGTAGATAACCAAATCCCACAGTTGTTAGGCAAGGCACCTTCCTGCTACTTTCCCAAGAGCTAGGCTGACAAGCAGGTAAATGGCTGCCACCAGCTGGGAGAGGGAATGAGGGGATGTGCAGGTTGGGGAGAGGCAAGAGGTGTATGAGAGGCACGGGTCAGGAAGAGTGTGATGGAGAGAGTGAGGGGTGCTTGAGGATGCAAGGGGGGCATGACAAGGGTCAGGGCATGTGCGCATGTAACTGGCATGGCACAAGCACAAGTGGTGTATGCAAATGGGAGAGACTTACTCCAGCAACTTGCAACTTTTCCTTCCAGCTTCCCCACTGATTTTCTGGAGAAGCCAGTAGGGAAAGTCACAAATGCAGCCATGTGATTATGGGGCAATGCAACTGATTGTAAGTCCAGATTGCCAAATGCCCAAATTGCAATTGAAGGATGGTGGAGATGCTGGGACAGATGGAACTCAGAGGAGCAGTTGTAGTCACCATTTTTTCAGGGCCATCATAACTTCAAACAGTCACTGAACAAGGGAGCACCCCTTTACACTACTAATTTGAAAATATATCTATCAGATTGAATTGGCTGTTATCTATATTTAAGATGAAGTCCACTGTTCTTGCTGATTTAAATGTGTTATGGCAGAACCCCTTGAAATGTACATTGGTTAGTCCAACTTAAACCATGGCCCTTTATTCCATAGCCCTGTGCTTGTTCATATCTAGAGATGCTAAAGATTTTTCACTTTGCTTGCAGACATAGCAGTTGCAGCACCTTATGGTGGAGAAAACAAGAAAGGACTGGTTTATATCTACAATGGCAGAGCCACAGGATTGAATGGAATGCCATCTCAGATCCTTGAAGGACAATGGGCCTCTGAAGCAATGCCACCAAGTTTTGGATATGCCCTGAAAGGAGCTATTGATGTAGACAAAAATGGCTACCCAGGTGATGTTTCTATAGTGATAATAGCTTATGTTAAGTGAATTGCAAATTTATTAGCATTTATGCGATGTATCTTTCTCTCCTTTCTATTCCCAACTCATCCTCTTGTACCCACCAACCCCTAATCTTCTCTAGAATGTTCTCTGCTGTGTAGAACAAAGCTGAGGAATGTACAGACTCTATTTTGCATTCCATTATAGCTAGTGGACACAACTGATTATAATTTAATGCATTTAACCTTATTTTAATTTATTTAGTTGTGATATATGAATAACCATGGTGATAAGTTTTCAACTGTAGACAAATAACCAATCTAAAAATCTGCATATGTTTTTTCTACTTCCAGACTTGATTATAGGAGCTTTTGGTGTTGACCGAGTTGCGTTATACAGGTAAGTTTTCAGAAGAATATTAGTAGAGAAGTCCAGTTCGTATCAGCAATTATAAAAAAAATAGCTCTTATCAAATGGGAGGCATGCTTGAAACCAGGCCTTAGTCACAACCATTTGTCTCTGGAAAGCTTATAAGTAGAATGTGAAGATATTAATATCTTCTGACATGCAATTATTTAGCCATCTTTATTGAAAAACATGCTGTCTCTGATTTAGAAGCCATTGTGACTTGAAAATGTATCTGTCATGAATTTGATTCTTTCTCTTTAAAGCCATTCAAGTTGCAAGCTATTTCTGTATCTTATTGGAATGAATTCACCAATTCTGATTATGTGCTGGAAGGAAAATATTAAAAATACTAATTTCTCTGGAATCTCCCTTTTCAATTTCATTAGCTGATTTTAAGTTCCTTTACTATGAAATGTCTCTTCATTCTCTTTCTATGTTGCATGCAAAATTTCCTACAGCTTTGTGCACACCTAAGCAAAAAAGCCCCCAATTCTCCTAGTAGAGTTGTCCAAGTCTCTGATTAGGTTGGTGGCTATTTCTATTTAAAATTGTCCAAAATATTTTCCATCTTGCTATTTTCTACTTTCTTCTTCAAATCCTTTGTATATATAACTTCACCTTTCATTATCTAGGGATGTAGGCAGGTGCCCCTTTCTAGTTTTCTTTGTTTCTTTTCAAAGGGCCCGGCCAGTCATTACTGTGAATGCTGGATTAGAAGTTACGCCAACAATTTTAAATCCAGAGAACAAAATCTGTGAAGAAAATGGTCAAAAGGTTTCTTGGTAAGTTCAATAGATTCTCCATTCAGTGTTTGCAGTTAACATTGTAAGTCAAATTAAGGAACCAGGAACATCTGTAGCTAATGAAAGTGAATAATGCAAGGGCGAGTGTCTTTCCTTTCACCATGCTCTTCCTAGTCTTATCACAGGATTTAAGTGCATTATTTTAATTACAGAAGGTTGCTTCCTTATATCTGATTCTGAGTTCCCCTTCTTCGAAAGCAGCGAACTATGTTGAAATCCTTCTTCATGTTTATAATACTGTAAAAGGTTGCTCCAAATGGGAAAGGAATTTGATTAATTGTATAGGATGTAAAGCCACATTTGAATCCTGGTGAATTTCCATGTATCTGAATTTTAAGCTTTTTCTTGAATGATAAACAACAAAACTGAGGATTAACTCAACCCAGAAAAGTAGTTCTCAGCTGAATGGTGTAAATTTGCCCATGCCTTTGTTTACTTATTCCCACCCCAACGTTTTCAGTTAGACTTACAACTATGTGAAAAGTTTCTTGAGCTTCCTCTTTCTATCTCAAATATACAACACACCTTAGATTCCTCAAAGTTGACTGAAATTAAGCATCTAAAATTACACTGTACATGCAGAACAGATCAGTTAATCTAGTAAAAACATATATTTAATAATTGCAAAATTGAAGAAGTGATAAAGAATTATTTTAAAACTAAATTTAATGACTCTTGGGATCAGGAATCTTGCACTGGAGTGGGGTTCTAGTCCCAGTTCTGAAATTCTGATATTGGAGCACATGGGAATGCATACCCTTTCAATATTCATAGACTTAAATCTTGCACTTGGCCTATCTGTTCCCAAAAAATTATTCTCTCAATAGTTTCTTTAATTATTCTCTCAATAGTTTTAGAGTGAAGTTCTGCTTAAAAGCTGATGGCAAAGGGAATCTCCCCGCAGAACTCAGTAAGTTTTGTAGATTTTTTTTTATTGCACATGTAAAATAATAGTTTAATATACTGTACTTGTGTGTTCATACTATAAACTGAAGCTTTTAAACTTTGAGAGCTGGTCCAAGCTCCACCAGTATTAAAACGTAAGTAAAGGCACTCAGTACTACCTAGAATATGGGTGATGGATTTGTGCTGATTGCTGACCAGAAACAGATTTACTTTAGAAGCAGCTTGAGCTTTCTAGCAGGCAACATCCATCTGGCCTCTGATATTGAAAGCTCGGGATTAATTGTTTACCAGATCATGAACATAGGGATTGAGGGCAGACAAAATACCTCAGTGCTCTGGTCAGCCACAGTTGCTACAAATATCTGCCAAGAGTGATTACATTTGTATATGAAGTTTACGATAGAACATAGTTCTCAAACTCACAGGTAACATAGGGTCCTTTAGCACATTTTCGGGGCTTAATCCATCCCAGTTTATATATCATATAAAATATGTAGCATCTATAGCTAAAACATTTAGCTATAGATGGAATTGCTGGAATTGGGTATGTCTAGTGTAATGAAAAGAAGGACTAGGGATGACATGATAGCTGTCTTCCGATATCTGAGGGGCCGCCACAAGGAAGAGAGAGTCCAGTTATTCTCCAAAGTACCTGAAGGCAGGACAAGAAGCCATGGATGGAAACTAATCAAGTAGAGAAGCAACCTAGAACTAAGGAGAAATTTCCTGACAGTTAGAACAGTTAAGCAATGGAACAACTTGCGTGCAGAAGTTATGAATGCTCCAACACTAGAAGTTTTTCAGAAGAGATCGGTCTTTGTCTGGAATGGTATAGGGCTTCCTGCCTATGCAGGGGGTTGGACTAGAAGACCTCCAAAGTCCCTTCCAACTTAGTCATTCTGTTATTCTGTTACAGCATGTGGTTGTTTGCTTACCCTGAGAGGGTTATTCTTAGCCTTTCCATCCAAGAAAGCTTGGGGGCTTTCTATGGGAGGGGTTGGGCATATGGGTAAGATCACAAACATGAAGGCAAGCAAGTACTGCCCCACTTCTCCCTAAGTCAATTTTTACGAGCCCAGCTAGGACATGTCACTAAGGCAGAATAGGTGAGGAAGGATCTGGAGGGTCAGACAAGATGCCCAGCATCAATAGCTGCAACCCTTTGTGGCTGCCATCCTTATAATGTTGGTTAAATGTTATACCTACCGTCCCTTATCTTTAGCTGGAACTGCTGTGGATGGTGGAAATTGTGATTTGGCATAAGTAGCATTTGTATAAATGGATAAAAAGTCTGTTGCAGCCTTTAGGCTAATGAACTACTCCACATGGAGTCCTTATAATAATTTGAAACCACTAGAGTGTACACCTCCTATTTCACTTTGAGAACAAGGCGTCAAAGTAGGCATCTAAAAAAACTGTTCTAAGATATCTGGTATAAAGGGCAAGAGCAATTGCCAACATATATACTTTCTGCAACCCCTGTTAACTCATATTATGAATGGTGTTGGTTCTCCCTTGAATGCTTCTCAGCGACAGCCTTTCTAACTACTGAGAAAAATACCTTACCAATGATTGCTGTAGCAACACACAAATCAAAAGGCTGTATTACTAAAATGTTTTTGTGTTTGGTGATAGCTTTCCACGTGGAGCTCCTGTTGGACAAACTTAAACAAAAAGGTGCCATAAGGCGAGCTCTGTTTCTCCACAACAGACAACCAGGTCACTCAAAGAACATGACAGTCTCCAAAGGAGGTCGAAAGAGTTGTGAAGAACTTGATGCTTTTTTAAGGGTAAAAATATACACAACTGTACTTTGCCCTGACTCACTTTTCTTTTTGTATGATATGGTTTATCTTAGCAGCTTCCAGTGTCAAGGGCCAGCTTAATGATTTGTACATTATCTAGTTTGACCACATATATTTTCTCCATATATTTTTAAATAGCTATGTCCATGCAAAAGGTCCATATGTGTCCAGCTGTAAATAAAATGGAACATGAACACGATTACACTTCTTGATCCAGTGTTTGGATATTTTCTTTGAAATTGCCTCGATTCCACACAACGATGGAGAAAACTAAACAAAGAAACAAGAGACAGTTTACCCATTGATCTCAGTGGTGCTTTGACTCATTAATCTCTCTGGAACTTGCCAGGCTTCTATAGCTGGTGATTTTTCTCCTTACCACTAGGCTAATGCAATTCTTTTAGATAATTGTAAATATTTGTGTTAGACCCTTCTAGAGAATAATAGAAATGACTGTGGAGAAACCAGACAGAAATAACAACTGCAAAAACATGCTTTCAGCACAGGAAACAGAAAGTGTGATAGGAAATACAGATCCTCTCTAGTTCACTAGAGTATAAGAGGGAGATGGGGAGGAAGAAGAAGAAAAATCAGTCAGGCTTCAGGATTCTATTACTAATTTTATTTCAATAAAGTAAAGTACAGTCAGATATGTGACATCTGTTTCCTGATCTGGTCCCCGTCAAAGGGCAGACAACATTTGATCGAAGTTATATCCATCAAATTCTGCAGTTCGGATTTTTGTTTTGTTTTAAAACATAACCCTCATTTTGTCTCTTCTAGGATGAATCTGAATTTCGAGATAAGCTTACTCCAATTACTATATTCATGGAATATCAACTGGATTACAAAACTGCTTTGGATTCTACTGGTTTACAGCCCATCCTCAACCAGTTCACTCCTGCTAATATAAGCAGACAGGTATAAAGCTGGGAAGTATAATACACAATTTTTGCAACTAGCAATGTGGTTTTTTTTAATGTTAATGAATATTAATGTTTTTAAGAAATTGTATTAGAGAAAGAAATAGTAGTTCTTTGATGTCATTTTTCTGAGATGAACAATAACACGGTTTCTTGAACCAAGCATGCAAGCACCAAGTATTTTGCTAATCTTCCCTATTATAAAATTCATTCCCACAAGAAAAGTTTTCCTATTACTACTTAGCTTAGCACCAAACTAAAATGAAGGTGAGTTACATCGGTCTTTAGTAATTAAACAAAACAAGAATAAAGAGTCAAATATTTGGGATTTAATTTTAATTTTTCTCAAACTTAGGCTCATATTCTTTTGGATTGTGGGGAAGATAATATCTGCCGTCCAGATTTAAAAGTGACTGTTGACAGGTAAATTCTGGTTGATTTTTTTTTTATTCTAAAGGTATATAAATACAATTAATGAAGGAGTAAATAAGTGCAAATGTAAAGATGAGGGCATAAAACCTGAAATTGGCAAGGCAGGACCTAGTGATTCTCAAGCTAGAGAGAGCTACTAGGTTCACATGTCTCGGCAATTGAACATCAAGCAACCAGCCAAGTATCTATTTGGAAGCATGGAAGGAAGAAACCCAGCGAACAGATTCTAAGGTCTCCAACTTATCCATGCTGCAGTAGGCAATCAGTTGCACTAAGAGGTTACATTCTTGTCTGCAATATTTATTCTGATCTAGCTAAATCGTATCGGGGAAACTTCTAACAAGTTAGCTGAAGGCTGTATTAATAATGAAATGTTTGGATTTCTGTGATTTTATGCCCATCTTGATTTGCTGACATTCACTCAATTCAGCATATTATACCTTACTTTTTAAAGTACGAAATGAAAGACTCTTTAGCCCATGCCTGCAGCCCTTTCCCTTTTGTTGGAAGATAGGAAGTACTTATTTAAATCTGATTGTTCTGTTTACACCGAGAAACTCTGCTGACTGCCTTGCTCATTGCCTTGTTAACAAACAAGACAGTATATCATTTTCAGAACAATTTATGAAGCTAAATCAAAGTTTGCTTGTTAACTATAGTTTTGTGCTTTAGCTATCCTGGAAACTGTGATTAGAGACTTTATAGTTTAAATTATACTAAAAGAAATTAAATGAATTTCAACATATTTGTATATTAGTTTTTTTTTTAAAGACAGAGTTCAGTCCTCCAAATGTACAACTGTTGTAATGTTTATAAACTACACCTGTTGGGATACAGAAGATCAAAGCACCTTCAGTTTGAGACTGAACTCCAGAGGAGCAACAAAATACATTGTCCCATTTTAAAGAAAAATCAATTTGCCAAAGATGGGGAAATGAGCAACAGAGACAAGTTCTCTTGGAACCTTCTTTTTTCACCCTCTATGTGACCTGTCATGTAGCTTTAATGTGTCTATATAAAACAACTTTATCATCACAAACAGAAATCTTGAATCTACAGGAAGAAGATACAATGAAGAGGCAACATTTGGCATATGATAAGCACTTATATAGTTAATCTCTATCTTCCTCCTATAATTTCTTTAATTTACATTCATTCATCCCAGACTGTCTTAGCTTATAAAAGCAGCGAAAGAGGGAAAATGTGTTGGGATTCAAATATGAACTTGTGTGTAATTTAAAAGTAGTTCCCATAACTTCATTAATTGCTCCTAAACATAAAGATAAAGTATTGTTTGTATGGGTAATGCTTGGTAGAACAGCCATGAAGGCTTTGGACAAGATATTTAGATGCTGGAAAGCTTCTAGACCTAAAAAGATTAAAACAGTGCAGGCAATAGTATTCCTTGGGAGACTGGATGGAAGTGAAGAACTTGGACTTGAAGAAGTCAGACAAAAAAAATACCATTGACACCTTTGAACTTTGGTGTTTGAGAAGATTCCTGAAAATATTATGGTCAGAAAAGAAAACAAATGTATAATTGAACAAATCCATAGTTCTCACTCAAGACACACATGACCAGGTACAAATTATCTTACTTCAGATACATTGCAAAGACCTAGCTCTCTTAAGACAGCTCTAATGCTGGGAAAGGTGTAAAGAAAGAGAAAAGGACAACCTGAACAAGATGGAAGGACTTAATTACCATGGTGATGGATGCACCACTGGAGGACTTCAAAGACCAGGTTAAGTACAGATCTTCATGGAGAATCCATGTTTTTCACTAAGGTGGAACTGGATAATCAATCAGGCATGCCTAGGATCATAAACATTATTAAAACTTAGGATGACTTAAGGCAGCAGAATTCAGGGGATTCAGATTCCCTCTTCTATAGCAAAGTACTTTTACTTTTTTGGAAGCTTTCAGAAAATCCTAATTGCCATAAGGGTAATAGAAACATAAAGAAAAGAAAAAAGAAAACCTCTCATTTTTACTGTTACCAAAGTATGGGAACCTACTATATAGCTGCCTGTAATTTTTGCATTTATATTTGATGACAATCTAATCAGCTTCTGTGCTTCAGAATACTTCTGAAAAGAACTCTATGGAGGTGGAAATAGCAGTTTCCCAACCTGACTTTGGACTACATGTCTTACTTATTTGGAAAAATATTGTGATCAAGGGGGATCACTTTTATTTTGCTTTGGTCTTTCACAGTGATCAGAAGCAAATCTACATTGGAGATGACAATCCATTAACCCTAATTGTCAACACTCAGAATTTAGGCGAGGGAGCCTATGAAGCTGAACTCTTTGTAACCATCCCACCACAAGCAGACTTCATTGGTATAGTTCGTAACAATGAGGTAAGTCTTGTGGACCTACATGAATGATCTTATTATTTCTACTTCATTGTAGCTCAAAACTTGAATTTATGCTTTCTGTGTAAAGTCTCAGTATCAGTTTCCGATCCAGCTATTCTTCTGCATCATGTGTGAGAACTGATAACAAATCAGTCCATCATTCAAATACAAATGGAAACCAGGCCTCCTTCCCCAAAAAGAGGATCATGCAGCTTATTACATTGTTTGGGAAAAATAAAAATACTTCTTTTAATCTTGATTTCACTAAACATTAGTCTCACGTTTGATGTACCACAGTTGCTGGAATTGTTCTGTAATGGTTTCTTAACACAAACCTATTTATTTCAGCTTTTCTGCCTTTGAAAAGCTGTCACTGGGTTTTGTTTAGTTTTGTTTAGTTTTACATTGTCAACCAAGGAAAATGTAACACATTGGAATTTCAGTAAGTTTTTGATATTAGGAGTCTGGATGGCCACAAAAAGAATATAATGCAGCAAAACTTAAATATATTGTGGGGGGTTTAAGGGAAGAGATATATGTCAGTTAGTGCTCCATTCAAAATCCAAGAAGGAAATATTTAAATTCCATTAATTAGAGAAAAGATATCTTTTACTGGAAATCAAGTGATAGCAACAAAAGAATTCTGAATCTGAGAAAATGGGCGCGTAAATCACAAATACAAAGTGATGGCAATGTTCCCACCCCCAATAGTTCAATTGGCTCATCCAATTAAAAGTTGTGTATATCATCATGTGGGGATCTGCAGGTGGTGATGAGGCCTCTGTCCGTTGACCTTGACATATTTTGATAAAGAGTTGCGGCTGCACATAGCATAGGATAGAAGCCTAAGCAAGAATCTCTCCCCCCCCCCCCCCAGCTTATACAGTTCTGTTTTGTAACACCTCCAGCTCACTTCCCATAACCATATCCCCACTCCTCCCCCCGTTACTTATGACAGCCGAGAGATGCAAAGCAAAGGGAGAAAATCTTGAAGACTGACATTCGGCCCTCCTGCAAAAGAGGCGTTAGTCCTATAAAAGATAAAAATAGAAGGTAACAGAAAATATACTTGTAACACCATAATACTATTTTTTAGGGTTTATCAGGATATTTAGTACGAAATGCATTGATAAGCTTAGGAGATGTAACGTCCTTCTCATTCACCCATTCAGACTGGGAAGGAGGAAAATGTTTCCAAACAATCAAATATTGGAGTCAACCCCTTTGTTTTTGAGAATCCAAAATTTCTTTAACTTCAAAATGTTGTTCATCTTCAATTAGCAATGGCACAGGGGGATCGACCTGAGTTGGTCTCAAGTCGGAGGTATGTTCAGGTTTTAATAAACTAACATGGAAAACAGGGTGGATCCGTCGGAGGGTTTTAGGTAATTTCAGTTGGACTGCCACAGGGTTCACAATTCGTTCAATTGAGAAAGGTCCAACATACTTAGGTCCAAGTTTTTTTTACTTTTGTGTGGTCTGCAAATATCTGGTAGATAAAAAGACCTTGTCACCAACTTGATATGGTTTTTGTGGACTTCTCTTTTTATCTGAAAATTTTTTATGGGCTTGATAAGCATCATTTAATGCTTTACGGGTAACAGGCCAGGTAAGCTGGAGCTGTGTTATCCATTAATCTAATGACTGAATGTTAGGTTTCTCCTGTGGAAATTCAGGTATGGGTACAAAGTCTTGTCCCGAAGCCACTTTAAATGGAGTAAACCCAGTACTACTATGTACCAAATTGTTATATGCCACCTCAGCGAATAGCAATAGGTCAGCCCAATCATCTTGCTGATAACATCGAAGATACTGTTCCAATACCAAGTTAGTCCTCCTACAAGCCCCATTGGTTTGTGGGTGGTGGGCGGAGCTTAAGCCCTGGGTGGAGCCCAATAACTTCAGGAACTCCTTCCAAAAGTTGGAGGTAAACTGGACACCCCGTCTGAGATTATGCGTTCAGGAACCCCATGTAACCTGTAGATAATGTAAAATAAACAGTTTAGCCAACGTTTTTGCAGATGGGATTTTCAGACAAGGTAGGAAATGTATCTGTTTGGAAAACAAATTGGTTACCACCCAAATAACTGTATTCCCCCCACTTTCAGGTAATTCCACTATAAAATCCATAGAGATTTCCTTCCATGGAGCAGTTGATCTGGCCACATTTTGTAGTAAGCCTGCTGGTTTACCAGGAGGCCGTTTGGCTGAGGCACAGGTAGGACAGCTAGCCACATAAGTCTCAATGTCCTCTTTCAAGGTAGGCCACCAAAATTGCCTTTTAACCAAGTGTAAGGTCTTCATGAATCCAAAATATCCAGCAGCTTTAGAGTCATGAGCTTGCTGTAATATTTGGTTTCTCAGCTTTGCTGGCACATATAATTTGGCCTCCACCCATGCCAATCCATCTCTAACCGTACAGTTATTTGAGTGAGCAAGGAACCAATCATCAAGTTTTAGAGCTTCTTTTAATTGTGCAGTTAAATCATTTGACAGATCAACTTCCTTCTTTTTCTGGGCTTTGGTAACCACTGGAGCTGCCAACTGTTTGGTTGGGACAATAGGCCGTACTACTTCTTGGTGAGCACTATTATATTGAGGTAATCTAGATAAAGCATCCGCCATGAAGTTCTTCCCCCTGGAATGTACTTCAATGAAAAATTAAAGCACTTAAAGTACTGCGCCCAGCGAACTTGCTTGGGAGTCAGCTTCCAAGGCATTTTCAAAGCCACCAAATTTTTATGATCCGTCCACACCTCAAATGAGTGTTTTGCTCCTAAGAAATGCCTCCAGGTTAACAGAGCCCAGAGAACTGCAAAAGCTTTTTCCCAGATGGCCCATCATCTTTCGGTTTCATTTAGTTTACGGGAAGTATATGCACATGGTTGCAGAGTCCCCGTCTTGTTTGCTTGTAGTAACACCGCCCCAACTGCTACGTCACGCGCATCTGCTTGGATTACAAAAGGAGCATCCATGTCTGGGTGCTTGAGTACTGGTTCAGCAGCAAACAGTCGTTTCAGCTTCTCATAAGTGGCTTGACAAATCCCAAGAAACTTTGAAGTTGTTTCCTGGTGCAACGAGGGGCCCATTCTAACACAGCACGAACTTTCCCCGGATCCATTTCTATGCCATCATGTGATATGCGATAACCTAAATAGTCAATTTTTTCCTGGTGGAATTCACACTTGGACAACTTTGCGTACAGCTCAGCAGCTCGAAGTTTTTCAAGGATTGACTGCACTAGTTTCACATATTCATCACAACTCTCCATGTAGATAAGAATATCATCAAGATAAACCAACACCCCTTTGTATAAATGTTCATGCAACACCTGATTGATCATTTGCATGAATACTGCAGGGGCCCCCTGTAGGCCAAATGGAAGAACATTGAATTGGAAACAGCCCATTGGACAGTTAAAAGCAGTTTTCCATTCATCCCCTTCCTTAATTCAAACTTAGTAGTATGCTTCTCTCAGGTCGAGTTTTGTAAAAAATTTCCTTTGGCCAAGTGGGCCAACATATCCTTCATCAAGGGGAGGGGGTACACGTTCTCTACCGAAATAGCGTTGAGGTTTCTATAGTCCACACATAAACAAAAAGCCATCTTCTCACGGAACAATACTGGGGCTGCTACTTGGGGTCTAGCAGGTTGGATGAAACCATGTTCCAAATTTTTATTGATACATGACTGCAGCTCTTCTAGCTCCCGTGGTGTCATCGAGTACAGTTTCGGTTTTGGAAGTTTCACTCCTGACAAAATTTCAATGCTGCAATCTGTTGAGCGATGGGGGGTGAGCTCGACTGAGCCCTTTTCACTGAATACCTCCTTTAAGTCCCAATATTCCTCTGGAATTTTGTCCTCCCCCCTCAGATTCTTCGTGCCAGTGAGGCCAGCCCAGTGGGATTCATAGGTTTCGGTTGAGATTGCCCCTCCTCTTCTGGGGGTTGGTCAGTACGTATGCACAATCATCCCCTCCTCCCTTGTTTGGACTTACCAGTGAGTCGTCTTCCGATTCAGATTCACTGTCTTCAGAAGAGGTTGGAATTCCAAGTTTCTCTCCTTCCGGAGGGGCGATCTCTACAATCTCCTCTGCTTTAAGCGCTATTTTGCGAGGCTTTGCTGGGTTTTTTTCAGGTTTTCTTCCTCCTCCTGGTGCCCCCTTTGGCTCTAGCTTGGCACAGCAGTCTGCAGCCTGGTGACCTTCCTTCCCACATCGGAAGCATGCAGTGGTCTTGGGTTTTGCCGCCATTCCTCCCTTTTGAGGTTTTAAGGCTTCTCAAGGGCTGGTGGGGGAGGACTTGCTCCAACCAACCCCCCCCCCCCCGGTGTCTGTTTCGGGTCAGATCAATTTCCATTTCTGCTGCCAGCACGTACCACAGCTGCAGCTCACTGGGGTCTTTTCTGGCAATACAGCTTTGATACACATCTTCATTCAACCCATCTTTAAAAGCTTCTATCAGGGCTCCCTAGAACCAGCCTCAAATATGACACTCCAGCTCTCTAAATTCCTGGGTGTAGTCGGCCACTGATCTCCGCCCCTGATTTATGGTCTTCATCCTAATTCTGGCCTTACGTTCAGCAAGTGGGTCTTCATTCCTGGCCTGCAGTGCAGTCATGAACAGGTCATAATTCATCAGCTGGGCAGCATTATCACTATGCAAAGTCACCATCCACTTTGCAGCTGTTCCCTCCAGAGCCCTTGTAACACATCTAACTTTGGCTGCTTCTGAGGAAAAATCCCCTTCATATTCCTCCATATGGCTCCAGACTTGTGCCAGGAAAAATCCTAACTCCTTGGGATCCCCCCCATATTTTACTTCCAATGGAGGCACCTTTGGAGTTCTATGCCTTCTGGCAATTACTCCTCCCGCCGGGGGCCCCTGGGCTGCTGCTACCTGTTGCACCAGCCCAGGTTGATTTATGGGGGTGGCTGCTCTGATTCTTCTGGCAGGGGCTACCTCCCCCTCCTCTCCCTCATACCTTTGATCAGTTTGAAGTTCTTGATCAGTTTTAAGATATTTGTTATTTCTGAAGGTCTGTTAAACCCAAAATTATGACATGATATATTTTTAGAGAATTTTGCATCATATGCCTAATTGTGTAATTAAATTATGACTGAAAGTTGTTTGAAAAAATGTAAGTATAAATGAATAATTTAGACTACGAACTTAATTCTCTCTTTCAGGAGAAAATGCAGATGCATATTTTTTTTCTGTTGCATCTGACTACCAGTAAATTAAGCCAGTTTATTATTTTATGTATCATGATTATTTTATGATGTATATGAGCATTTTACCTGGTGTACCAAATGAACAATTGTACCATGGCTATTTAATTTTGAAAAAAATAATATTTGCATTTATTGCAGGCTCTGGCAAGACTTTCATGTGCATTTAAGACCGAGAATCAAACTCGGGTGGTTGTCTGTGACCTTGGAAATCCTATGAAAGCAGGAACAAAGGTAAGAATGAATTCAACTCTTTGTTTGCTGTCTTTGGAAAAAAGAAGGGGAACCCGTCCATAGAATAGGGATTGCTGGAATGGGATAGAGAGACAGCATCATACTTTAATTCAGAGCTACTGGTAGTATCCAAGCTTTAGTCTCTTTCTGGATGTTGCCTATTAAAACCTACATATTTTCTCTTGTGTTAAAGCTCTCAGCTGGTCTTGATTTTAGTGTTCATCAACAATCTGAAATGGATACCTCTGTCAAGTTTGATCTACAGATCCGTAGGTAAGGAATACTTACAGCATGTGTTTTTGCTATGATTAAATATGATTATCTGGTACTAATTATTGATACTTTTAATACTTTAAAATATTGAAAACCTTGAGTGAGAGATTAAAAAAAAAAAGGGACAGGAAAACATTACTGAATAGTATTCAGTACTACATATTTGGTATAGCCAAACTTCTAAATCTGATGGCATATCATAACTTGAGTGTTACCGGGTCATTATTTTACAGCTCCAATTTGTTCAACAATCTAAGCCCAGTGAGCTCGTATCAAGTGGACCTGGCCATTTCAGCTGCTGTAGAAATCAGAGGGTGAGTCCTGATCCTTTCCCAACCTCAGTCTTGATTTGAGGGTTCTGGTCCTTGTACCATGTCCATTAATCTCTGTTTGTTCCTCACCCAATTTAGGGTTTCTTCTCCTGATCATATTTTCCTCCCAATTCCCAACTGGCAACCAAAAGAAAATCCAGAAACAGAGGATGACATAGGGCCTTTAGTTCAACACATCTATGAGGTAAGTTGACACTCAGAACAGTAAATAATAATCATAGATTTGAAAATGCAGAAAGCTTTTTTTCATCTTTATCTCTTGTACCAATAAGCTGACCAGATGACTCTGTGGGTGGTCTACTGATTTCCAAAGGAAAAGTCAAGTACCTTCTTCTGGCACTCCTTTACTCCTGCTTTCTTTAACCTTTTGCCCTCTGGAAGTACTAGATTTCAACCCCAGCATGCTCCAACCAGCGTAGCCAGTTCAATACATATGTGCAATATTTCAGCCGTATGTGTTTACTATTATCAAGGTCATCTTTCTAACCTTCTCTATCCCAGGCTGATTTTGGCCCTAGTAAGCTAAATGAAGCCCATACATTACTATATTCAATGTGTTGATCTGCATGATCAACCATATCTATGTGGCACTTACCATTTCTCAGGGGGAGGACTGTATCATGTCATCTTCTATCCATCCTTAGCCTACTAGGGATCAACCTTTGTCCATTGTTTTATATTATGCATTAATTATTTGCTTACTTATTTATCAGATTACTAAAACCAGTCAACTCCATAGTAACCCCATGATCAGTGTTTGTTAATTTGCACTGCCACAAATAGTGCAATCCAGTTCTCCTTCTGTATTTCATTTCAAAAGAAGGGAAATGAAATTTTGTCTTAAGTGGTTACTGTGCCTTGTATCAAGAACATTCTGTCTCCCTTGTCACTGGTTAATGCCCTGCCCAGTTATTTTGTCCCAAGCTTCAAACTGTCAGCTTCCTTCTGAAAAATCCTCTTGCTCTGTTTGATTGTTTTTCCCTTCATTTCCCCATTGGATCATTAAGCTATTTTTCTGTGACCATTTCTCCCTGTTACTTCTGCCCCATTCAGCCACCTGGTCATGATGTGAATAAATGGTTAGAAAAAGAGCCAAAAACAGAGGGAAAAAGATGGTCAGAATATGAAATTCTCAAGTGTTTTCATTATATAGTTCATTGGTGAAATAGTACCAGGCTAGGCTTTTTTTTAGTTCACCAATAAGAAAGTGAAACATATACCTTTTAAATGTTTTTAACTAAACGAAATTGACAAGAGTTATCCCACAAATTGTAAAATATTGGTATTTCTTTTGCCAGTCCACTGGTAGATACATCCAACTGTGAAGTACATGAAGGAATCAATAGAGATGGGCTCATGCAAAAGGTTTATCGATGTGTTCTGAAAGATTATGTTTGGTAGCTGCTTTCATGGTATGGGTGGGAGGGATCAAAATCAAGGGAATCTGCCAATCAGAACCATGATAATTTTGCCTGGCAATCATCCTGGCAAAAGAGGAGGGAAAGAGTTGAAATCCCGAAAGGGTTTCTTAAGCTAGCTCCATTCATAGTCAATTTATGCACTTCTAAACAGCATAGAAAAGTCTTGAGATTTGCTTGTTGCTGACCAGCTTCAAGGAGTAAAATGAAATATTTCATGGAGTTATATGCAGAGACTGGTTGTTTTTTACTAACTGGGTCACAATCTGCAAGCCTGCTTTGGAAACTGACTGGTTCATTGAACGTGGTTCCTATTAAACTGATTCATTTTCTACTTCTTTGTTAGCTCAGAAACAACGGTCCAAGTACCTTCAGCAAGCTGATGCTCAATCTTCAGTGGCCATATAAATACAACAACAATACCCTTTTATATATTATCAAATATGAAATTGAAGGACCCATGAACTGTACATCTGATATGGAGATTAACCCACTAAAAATTAAGGTAAAAAGAAAGCCTGTTCCGATTCTCTAAATACCAAGCCTGTCCATCTGTCTACGTGTTAAACTATAAGGATTATTGTCACTAATTGTACCAATAAAGCATGTTTGGCATCAACAGAGGAGGGAAAATATTTTAATGAGATAGCAGAACCACCTGTACTAAGTTGATAAATAGAAGTGATCACATTGGTGTGACCTATGAAAATGGCTGGAAGAAGCAGCTTCAATCCATAGTTAAAAAGATTGTGGCAGCCCTTTATTTCCATAAGGAAATCTGCAATCAGTTGGTTTCCATATTATAGGGTTAATGTATGAAATATTATGTGACTTTATAGATATTCCTCAACATTGTCTATGTTGTTTATCATTTTGGGGTTATAGCAATGGCAATAGCAATAGTACATAGATTTATATACCACTTTACAGTGCTTTACAACCCTCTAAGCGGTTTACAGGGTCAACATATTGCCCCCAACAATCTGGGTCCTCATTTTACCCACTTTGGAAGGATGGAAGGCTGAGGTAATCTTGAGCTTGGTGAGATTCGAACTGCCAAATTCCAGGCAGCCGGCAGTCACCAGAGGTAGTGTGCAGTACTGCATTCTAAGCACTGTATGCATTGATTTCATTCATCCCAGTGAATGGCTTCCTCATTGACATTGAGTCTTTGATGTTGTACGTGGGTAAGAGAACAAGGCACACAGCATGTTCCAGTGGATCACACATGATTATATAAAAAAATTAATGTGGATTAACAGCATTGGGAGTTTGTTCAGAAAATGTGCTAGTAGTCAAGCCTATCTTGATTATAACAGGTATCAACTTCGCAGCAAGATGAAAGGAATGAAACACTTACTGGAGAAGATATCCGCAATCATCAAATCCACCGGAGAGATCTAAGTGTTCCAGAGGAAGATGTACAAACTTTGGTAAAATCTTTGTGCTAACTGCTTTGCAAACAGTTCCTTGTCAATATTTTAGAAGAAGGACCAGATGTTTAGAAGTATTCTGTGAAGCAAATGCTGAAATCAATTTATTGCCCTAATTTGTAAGAGTATGGGCTATGGATAAAAGTAAGACAAAAATAAGGGCTACTTGCTGAGGAACTTGATAGTGCAGTTGCTTCTTCTTTAGTTTTCTCTTTTTCTCTGAGCCCTAGACTTTACTGATTGAACAGCTTATTTTCTCTGTAAAGACCCATAGGGAATCTATCTGCCTCCTTGCTTACCTCTCTGCCTGCCTGTCTCTCTGCCTTGTCTCTGTCTTCAACTCCATCTTCTTCTCTATCTCTGTAGAATGTTTAAACTATTTCAATCTTTTCAGACTCCCAAGTGGAATTGAAATTGTCTGGATGTTTTTCAATGTATATTCAAAATGTCAATATTGATGAGAGATTAATAAAATGTGGTATGTTCAAAACATTTCACTTCTTCAACAGACATTTCCCTTTAGTTAAGAGATGTTTCAGGTATGAATAGAGTAGAACAGAGTGTCTCTGAATAATTAAATTAAATCCAATGACTTAAGAATCTTGCAAATTTAGTTGGTAGAAATATAAATTAGAATCATAATAAATTAGAAATATAAATTAGAATATACCTGAAATATACCTGAAAGCAATACATGGAATATATGCAGGCAGCTCTAAACAGTAGAAAAACCGAATCAGAAAGCAAACCTTTGTCTTCACTCTGTTATTCACTCTTTCAAGCAATACATTTTGAATTTTAAGTTGTTCAAACCAATTTCAACTTTAGTGTATATATTTTTTGTTGTTATAGTATTATTAACCCAATGGAAAATCAGCCTCTGAATTGTTAATCCTTGAATCAAGATTGAAATAGAAAAGTTCAGGAGCTGCAGCTAGGAATGGTTGTTTGAAAACTTTCTTAATTGTGACTCCTAATGGAAAAAAAGTGGCTTGAAGGAACTCCTTTTTCTGTTGCATCCAGCTCATCATTTCTCCTTATGGTATATTCTCCAACAGGGGCAGGTTGAAGTATAGCCTGCATAAGGAGAAGTTCTCTTTTGTTTTTTTGTAAAAAAAATTATTTGGGTTTTCACAAAAAATAATACAAATAAAATATCTTTTTTTGAGAATAGCATGATCCTGGGTTGTCACTTTTCCATACAGACACAAACTTCATTTCATATTCATCTTTGTATTCTATTCCATATCTTATTACTATTTTGGCATTTTCTCAGTGATTTTTCCCTTCCCTTAGTTTTCTCAACCTTGTTTTTAATTATCTCATTCCTTTCTAAGTTCAATTACATCTTTTTCTAAGTTTCAATATCTTTCTAATCATTATGTTTATACTTTTGTCTGTCCTGTTTCAATTTCTTATTTTCTTTTCTCATTAAACAAGTTTTCCCCCGTAGTTACTGATTGGAGTATGACACTTTTGTATCTTTTAATTTTTGTCCATTCAGATCTTATTTAAACTTCAATTTATGCCCTTACAGTTATAACATTCAATATCTAACTTCTATTTTATAACACATAACTTTCGCCAGTCGAATTCTGCTTGGTACATTCTTAAAATACACACTAAGTTCTTAAAGAT